GTTCCAATTAAAACTTCCACTTTCCCTTTTAGTAAAGAATTTGTGGTTCACAACATTTCTTACACATTTCTCTCTCTTCTGCACAACTCTCCACCACACAATATCCACTATCTTAAATTGTGTGCCAAACCAATTTGGAAGATAAAATAGGAACGGAGGGAGTAATAAAAAGCTTATGGACATGTGACATGGCAACTTAGGGGGTCAAATAAGCCCCTGAACCCGACTGTAATGTTCAATTTACCCCCTCAACCCTTAATTTTTTTTTGACATTTTTTAGGGTTGAGGAGGTAAATTGAACGATTCAATCAGGTTCGAGGGCTTATTTGACTTCCTAAGTTGTCACGTCACATGCACAGTTGGCACCTTACCGGGTGACGTGGCGGTGACCGGATTGAAACCTGCAAAAAGTGAAATTTGAATATTTTTATCGAGTTCAGGATGTCAATTGGAGCTTTTTTGGGTTGAGTGAGCAAATTGAGCAATCCGAAAGGGTACAATGACCTATTTGACCCTTTAGCCTATTTTTAAATTCACTTTTAAATTAAATCCGAAACCTTCCAGTCAAACAAAGTCACTGCTCCACAACTTTCCATCCGCCCTTCCGGTCAACCACCATTACTTCCTCTTCCACAGCCACCTAAGCCACAACCTCACCGCCAAACCACCTTGCCCACCAAACGTCTCTCCAAGTGAAAGGTACTCTCCCAGACACCGCTGCCAGACAACAATTTCTGTTATCGTTAGCCGATGAACCTCCAAAGGTCGAGTTAGGGGATCAGGACAACGAGTGCCTAGTTTTCTCCCCAAATGACACCACTGTTGACGTTACGGAGCTACCCTTACCAACCGCGGCCACATAGGAAGTCATACCTGCCATATCTCTGCATGCGCTCGAGGGCTTTACTAATCCTAGAACTTTTCGTCTCACTGCTCTTATGCACGGGCAGAAATTTATAGTATTGGTTGATACGGGGAGTTCCCATAACTATATCCAACCCCGAATTGCCCATCATCTGCACCTCCATGTGGACCCCCTTACCAGTTTCCTCATAGCGGTGGGAAATGGGGAGCAACTCAAGAGTGAAGGCACCATACCTGATTTGACCTTTGTCATTCAAGGGGCAGAATTTCGGGCTTACTTTCACGTGCTCCAGTTTTCCGGGGCTGATATGATCCTTAATTGGCGTCGAGTGGCTCGAAGGATTAGGGAGAGTGACCAGCGCGCGATCACAAAAACCTCACCATGGGAAACCAGTCATGTTAAAAGGTAATTCGAATCCCGGTTCTCTTGCAATTACCTATCATCAACTCATCCGGTTACACACAAAAAAAAAATCCATTGCTCAGAGCCTTCTCTTGTTACCCAACCCACCACCCTCGGCCCCAACATCCCTCCATTCAACCATCCAGAGTGTCCTCAACCAATTTCCTACCGTTTTTGAAATTCCCAAAGGCTTACCTCCTAACTGCCCCCTTAATCACAAAATCCACTTATTACCCAATTCAAACCCTGTCAAGGTCAGGCCTTACCGTTATCCACACTACCAAAAAAGTGAGATTGAACGGCTGGTTCACGACATGCTTTGTGACGACATTATTCAACCCTCCACTAACCCCTTTTCCTCCCCGGTATTATTAGTCGAGAAAAAAGATGGTAGTTGGTGAGCCTCCAATCAAGGATCGTTTCCCTATGCCTACTGTTGATGAGCTCCTAGACGAGCTACACGGTGCCACATTTTTTTCTAAGCTTGATCTTCGTAGCGGGTATTACCAGATTCGTGTTCAGCCGGATGATGTTCTAAAAACTGCTTTTCGCACTCATGACGGACACTGTGAGTTTCTCGTCATGCCCTTCGGGTTAACCAATGCGCCACCACTTTCCAAGCCACTATGAACTAAGTCTTCAAACCCGTTTTACGACGCTTTGTGCTGATTTTTATGGATTACATCTTGGTCTTTAGTCTGTCCCTAGAAGATCATGTGCACCATCTCATTGTGGTCCTCCAAAAACTCCACGAGCATCAGTTTTATGCGAAGGAGTCCAAATGCAGTTTCGGGAGGACAACAATTGAGTACGTGGGACATATCATCTCAACCTCGGGTGTCTATGTGGATCCCTCTAAAATATGCGCTATGCTTGACTGGACCACACCAAAAACAGTGACTGAAGTACGTGGTTTCCTCGGCCTCACCGGGTATTATCGTCGATTTGTCAAAGGATATGCCTTTATTGCCAGTCCATTAACGGAGTTGCTCAAGAAAGGAGGTTTCACATGGGGGCAGCAGAAGGTTTGGCATTTCGCCAACTACAGGAAGCTTTGACAACAACACTTGTCTTACAGCTTCCCAATTTTGCATTACCTTTCACCGTAGAAACTGATACCTCCAGCAGTGCTTTTGGTGCTATTCTTTCCTAGGAAAAAGACCCAGTGGCATACTTTAGTAAAAGGTTACCTCCACGTTATCAATCTGCCTTGGCATATAGTCGGGAGATGTATGATATCACTGCCGCGGTCCACAAGTGGCGCTCTTATTTACTGGGAACCTCCTTCACCATTCTTACTGGGGTTTATTATTGATTAATAATATCCGGTCTTTTACTTGCTACTTACTGTTTCTTAGCCCATCTTATTTTGCTTGTTGGGTCAGTCTTTCATACACACTCCACTCGAAATCTTTGGGCTTACGTGTTGAACCCAAAGGTTGAAGGAATAAACCTCAACACTGGCGCCGTCTGTGGGAAACTGAACTAAAAGTTTCCAAAGTTCTTCCAAACAGCTACTAAAGCTACCTACATAAAAGATGGCAAGAAACAAAAACAACCAACAGTGTGACCTTTCCGAATGGCTAGAGAGCAGCCGCAGGAACCACGGACAGACCACCGAGCATTCTGAGACGTTTTGGACTACTGGGGGCGATGGCGGCCTTACCAACCTCATCCTCCACGAGGCCAGGCACGACCCTCAACTCATGCGGGAGCTGGTAGAAACTTTGCGCCAGATGGCGGACGAGTAGGAGGCTCATGAACAGGTGTACCAAAGACGGCTGATGACTACACAGAGGAAGACAGACTAAGAATTAAAGTTGATTTGATGGTAAAGATGTACCTGCTCCAAGCAATTCCCAACGACATATACATTTTGATAGATAGTATGGACACTGTGAAGGAGATGTGGAACGAGATAAGGAAGCTGGTGGAAGGAACCAACCTACGTCTGAAGACTAAGAAAGCAAGTACTCTCACCGCCTATGACTCCTTCAAGGCTAGACCTGGGGAACCTTTGCATGAGACATATAACAGATTCGTCATGTTTGTGAACGATATGCGAAAAATCAATGTGAACAGATCCAACATGGAACTGAATATACACTTTCTGTCAAGCTTAAACCCTGAATGGAAACGGACGGTGAAAAATCTAAGACAGAGTCTGGACGTAGATGAAGTTGACCTTTACACCATCCATGATCATCTTCAGCAGTTCGTGAATGACACTGCAGAAACTGAAGGAATGTTAGTTGCTGGTCCACTTGCTCTAGTGATGGAAACTCAGTCGAGGAGTACATCTAAGATGCATAAGAAGAAGAAAGTTGTCATTGTGTCTGAGGAAGAAGAAGGAAGTGATGAAGAAATTGATGTAGAGTCTGAACATGTAGAGCTGCAAAAGAAAATGGAACTTCTGACCATTCAATACAACATGAAAATTTTCAAGAAGATTACTTCATCCAACAAGCTAAGAACCTTATCATCCAACTACAAATCGAAGAAGTTTGAGCAGAATACCTCAGAGAGGGCAGTTGCAGCTGAAGTAGGAAGCATTGTCAGTCATGTGAAAAATAGCCAACCCTATCTACTTGGATTTTCACATGTGAAGGAAGCATTATCAGTCATATGAAAAATAGCCAACCCTACTTGTTCATGCGGTTAGATGCGTTGCTAGGCAAAGAATCGCCTGCACCGCTTCAGCCACACTAATGGATCACTGGAGCCACCATATTAGGGGAATTTCAAGAGTCCAACTTGGAGTACCTTGAACCATCCCATCGTCTGAGTCGCGTTGGTGGGTATGAGTATGTCATGGCAATCCATAACGTAGACTGGATGATGGCGGATCCCACAACAATTGGTTGAGAGTGTTTGAGAGGTCGGTCATGGTTTTACTCATCTTTGCGAAAGCTGCTGGAATTCCTGTCAAGTTGGTTACGATGTTCTTGATATCGGCTAATTGTTCTTCGACGTCAAGATGTCATTGATCGATGCCTTGTAGTAAGGCTTTCAACGCTTCTGTAGTCACTGATGTGTTTCCCATCGTGCCCAAATCTGATATGAAATTGTGTAGGAGGCGAGAGCGCACCCTAGTCCAGGGTTGCATTCGAGATATTAATCGGGAAAGAGAAAAAGAATCTGTAGAATTTAATGAAGATATTCTTCTTGTTAAATTAATCAGCGCCCAACCTTGTCAAGACGCACGAATTAATTCTCCCTAACATACTTTATTTCATAGCAATAACCCTTTTATATAGCGAGATTGTTTATGGTTCTAGACAAGAAAGGAAACACGAATTAGAAACAAAACTAGAATCATGAATGATAACAGAATTAGGAAACAATAGTCTCATTTCTCAATTCAGCCATATTAACTAACTAGAATAAGGAAATATACTAGAACTAGGAAACTAACTAGAATTAAGAAATCATATCATTATTCCCAACTTCAACACCTTTCCGTTAATGGCTCTTGGTCCTTTGGACCATGATGCGTCGTTTAAAAGTGTGGCTCCAAAAGGAGTCCGCAACATCAACTCTCACACTGTCATTCGTTCGGGAAGAAACAACGCCTATTAGAGGATTCAACGCTACTGGTAGTACGGACTAATTATAATACGTAGAACGCCTATTAGACGTGTACCTACTAGTCTTAGACTACTAGACGTGTACGACCATGTATTTTAATACGGACTGAAAATTAGGTGTACTAGTCTACTACTGGTATTGTTGTTGTTGACATTGTAAAAAAAAAAAGGGCAATCAGAAATAAATGGGCAATCGCTAGGAGGCGGAGTTCAAGTTCTTGCAGATTTCAAGCAATTTCAATCAGAAATAAATGGGCAATCGCAAAGCTCCGGCAATCGGAGTTCTTCTTCTGCTGCTGCTAGTCTTACCATTTATAGTATCAGCTCGCATCAATACTGTTCTAACACAGAGCTTAAAGAATTTCTCTTCCTCCCCGTTTCCGCCAAAATTTTTCTTTGGCACTTCTTCTTCTTCTTATCAGGTTTTCCCTTTTCCTCTTTCTATTCTTTTTTACTCAGAACGCTTCTTATTACTGCTATAGTGCAGATTCTAAAATATAAATTAATTCATTCTACAACGTCTTACATCTATTGTATATGCTATTTGTTCAATTTTTATTTCTCACATTTTGACCTTCTACCTGTTTACAATTCCTTTTAGGTCTATGTTCATGTCATATTCATCCCACCTAATTTTATTTCCATGGTGTAACTGGTGGGAGAGAGAAAAGAGAAAAAGGGGAGGGGCACGTAAGTGGGTAAAAAGTTGGGACTTTTTATTGCAACTAGTATAGTACCCGTGCATACGCACGGGAAAGAACAGTCCGTGCATATTTTCACTCATTATCTAATTATATACTCCGTATTAAAATAAAAATAACTTTAATTGTTATGATTCTACATTTTCGAAAAATAAAAGTACAATAACCTAATACAATAATATATAAGTTAATACAATAAATATTCAATGAAGAGTATATTAGGAAAAATTAATTAAACACCACTCATTAAAATTTGCTACTTCTTAATTTTCATGATTAAATTAATTTTAAAATTAAATACTATTCTAAAAATTGAATACAATAAATATTAAAATTAATGAATACTACGTATTAGTTATATAAGAACTTGCTACTCATTAGTTAAATTAGTGATAGCATATCAGAGGAAAATTATCCTACCCAATTCTTAATCGGCTTATTTGATACAAAAAAAAACTACACATGTGAGAAAATTCTCTCACTCAATTGCTAGTTAGCCGGAACAACTTATACCTAAAAACACTACGTATGAGAGAAAACTCTACTGCTTAGAGCTGACTTATTTCATACTTAAAAGAACTACATATATGAGAATTCACCGCTCAATTGTTGGCAAGTTTATCTTCTAATAATACCTAAAAGCATTACATATGAGAGATAAAATTATCCCGCTCAATTATTAGTAAGTTTATCTTGTTAATATATCTAAAAACACTACATATGAGAGACAAAATTCCCCCATTCAATTGTTAGTCAGTTCATGTTATACCTAAAATCACTACACATGGGTGAGAAAATTTTTCCACTCAATTGTTAGCTAGACTATCTGATACTTAAAAAGAACTATATATGAGAGAAAAAGTTCGTCCGCTCAATTATTAGCAAACTTGACTTTTTATACCTAACTCTTACATATGAGAGAGAAAGTTCTCCCGCGCAATTGTTAGTCTGCTTACCTTATCTCTAAAAGTACTATATATAGGAGATAATAATTCTTCCGCTCAATTGTTAGCCGGCTTATCTTATACTTAAAAGAATTATATATTAGAGAGATAATTATTCCGTTCAATTGTTAGCAAGTTTAATTATCTTCTAATACCTAAAAGAACTACATATGAGAGAAAATTATCCAGCTCAATTGTTAGCCGACTTGTCTTATACCTAAAAGCATTGTATATGATAGAGAAAATTGTTAGACGGCTTATGGCTTAGTCTTTGTTATATCTAAAAGCACTATATATATATGAGAAAAAATTATCCGCTCAATTGTTAGATGACTTATCTTACAAAAAAACATTACATATGAGAAAGAAATTTCTCTTGGTCAATTGTTAGCAAGCTTATCTTTTTAGCTTCTTATACCCAATACAAATGAAAGAGAAAATTATCCCGCTCAATTGTTGTTACGGGCTTATCTTATCTTATCTTATCTTATTTTATCTTATATACTTAAAAGAACCACATATGAGATAGAAAGTTATCTTGCTCAATTTTTAGCAAACTTATCTTATAGTACCTAAAAGCACTACATATGAGAGAGAAAATCCTCCACTCAATTCTCCCACTCGATTGCTGCAAGCTTATCTTCTAATTTTGTAATACCCAAAAGCACTACATATGAAAGAGAAAATTCTCCCGCTCAATTATTAGCAAACTTATCTTCTTACATCTAAAATCACTACATATGAGAGAGAAATTTCTCTCACTCAATTGTTAGTCGGCTTAGCTTATATCGAAAAACACTACATGTTGCAGAGAAAATACTTCATCTCACCTATTAGCCGACTTATCTTATACTTAAAAGAATTACATATGACTGACAAAGTTCTTCCGCTCAATTGTTAACACACTTATCTTCTAATATCTAAAATCACTACATATGAGAGAGAAAGTTCTCTCACTCAATTGTTAGGCGCTTATCTTGTACCTAATAACATTATATATGATAGAGAAATTTCTCTCGCTCAATTGTTAGCCTCCTTAATTATGACCTAATCTTCTTATACCTAAATTTTTATACCTAAAAACACTACATATGAGAGAGAAATTTCTCTCACTCAATTGTTAGTCGGCTTATATCAAAAAGCACTACATATTGCAGAGAAAACACTTCATCTCACCTGTTAGTCGGCTTATCTTATACATAAAAGAACTACATATGACAGATAAAGTTCTTCCGCTCAATTGTTAGCACACTTATCTTCTAATATCTAAAATCACTACATATGCGAGAGAAATTTCTCTCACTCAATTGTTAGTCGGCTTACCTTATATCGAAAAGCACTACATGTTGCAGAGAAAATGCTTCATCTCACCTGTTAGCGGACTTATCTTATACTTAAAAGAACTACATATGACTGACAAAGTTCTTCCGCTCAATTGTTAGCACACTTATCTTCTAATATCTAAAATCACTATATATGAGAGATAAAGTTCTCTCTCTCAATTGTTAGGCGGCTTATCTTGTACCTAATAACATTATATATGATAGAGAAATTTCTCTCGCTCAATTGTTAGCTTCCTTAATTATGATCTAATCTTCTTATACCTAAAATGTTATACTCCCTCCGTCCCATAAAATTCTTCCCAGTTTCCTTTTTGAGTCGTCCTAAAAAAAAATTCCCACTTACCTTTTTTGAACAATTTGTGTGGTTCACATTCATTTCACCTTTTTCTTACACAACCACAATCATACATTTCCACTTTATTCAACTTTCTTAATCTCCGTGCTAAGTCAAAGTGGGAAGAATTTTATGGGACGGAGGTTGTACCTAAAAACACTACATATGAGAGAGAAATTTCTCTCACTCCATTGTTAGTCGGCTTACCTTATATCAAAAAGCATTACATGTTGCAGAGAAAATACTTCATCTCACCTGTTAGCCGGCTTATATTATACTATCATCCGTTCCGTTTTAATCGCAACATGTTGAATTTTACACTATTCACATGCTCTACTTTGACTACGTTTTACGTTATTATTTTATGAAAATTATTTTTTTTAAAAAAATTGTTCAATTCATCTCATTACAAATTTTCAAAATCTGATTTCTAATATTTTTTTACTAATAGAATTAAGATATAATTACGGTCAAAGACGTGCGTTGGCAAATGTGAAATGTTGACCGTTGCAACTAAAAAAGAACGGAGAGAGTACATAAGAGAACTACATATGACTGACAAAGTTCTTCCACTCAATTGTTAGACGGTTTATCTTATATCTAAAAGCATTACATATAGGAGAGTAAATTTGATCGCTCAATTGCAAACCGACTTATCTTATATTTTAAAGCACTTCGTATGATAGAGAAAATTATCTTGCTCAATTATTAGTTGACCTATATTCTACCTAAAAGCACTATATATGAGAGAGAAAATTCTCATACATCTTACAAAAATGTGTAATGATTCACCCAATAACAATTTTACTTCCTCGTCTTCCACATCTTCATTATTTAATTACATAATTCCTTTTTCATTTACTTTCTACCGTTAGATTGTTATCGTTTTGAGTATTTTTTTCATACCCGGTATATCTTTTCAGCAGCAAGAGCTTATGCTATGGAGGTTTATTATTATGAAGAGTGTGGGCAAGTTTATTTTCATTTTTAAAATTCAGTTTGATTTGACTACTTATTCTAGTTGATAATCTAATATAGTGCTTCTTTCATGGTCAATTATTTAGTAAGAGATGTACATTTTTTGTTCAAATATTCTTCGAGTTGCTAGATTAGGAATCATCTGAAACACTTTCGTAAATCTGTCTCGTTCGTATGCACATAATTCGAAGCCCATAGTAATAACCAAATTCAAGAAATAATTTTGAGTCACTAACATATTATAAAGATATTATTTCAACATGTTGAACTAATAAATTGAATTAAATTTAGAAGTTTTACTTTTTTAGCAAGCAATGTGATTATCATTTTCTTTTACTCATTTTTTATTCTCGAGTGACATTATAATATGAAGGAATAAGGTTTGTAATGGTCTAACGAAGGGAGTAGAATAAAAAAAGAAAATAACATTAGATTTTTATTAATCGTAGCGTTGATGAATTCAAATTACTCACCGTCTTCACTTTAGACCAACTCAAAAAAGAACTAAATAGACCAACTCGAAGTTTTATTTTATTAGAACTAATTAGGTTTTTATTTGCTAATTTTTTATATATCAAACCAGTGCACTTTAAATCATAAAATACTTTAAGAAAGTTTTCTCAAATAAATTTATTATTTTTAGATTTTCCTCTATCAAGGCCTGATTTTAATTTTAGAGATTGTTTAGTAGCAGTGAAATTGGTTGAATCTGTTCAATGGATGAAGTTCTAAGAGAAGTGATTGAATTAGTTGAATCTATTGATTTATGGTTAAATTTAATTTAAAATATATTTTATTAATAAAATAAAGAAAAGAATTATATGAAAAGTAGCTTAAACTGATCACCTATAGTAACTTCAACAAATTTAGAGAGAAAAATTACTTCAATCAAGCTAAACATAAATAGATCAGATCAGTTTAAAAACCCAAAAATTGGCACTTCTTCTTATCAGGTTTTCCCTTTTCCTCTTTCTATTCTTTTTTACTCAGAACACTTCTTATTACTGCTATAGTGCAGATTCTAAAATATAAATTAAAACTTCGCCAAGGTTTAATTCATTCTACAACGTCTTACATCTATTGTATATGCTATTTGTTCAATTTTTATTTCTCACATTTTGACCTTCTACCTGTTTACAATTCCTTTTAGGTCTATGTTCATGTCATATTCATCCCACCTAATTTTATTTCCATGGTGTAACTAGTGGGAGAGAGAAAAGAGAAAAAGGGGAGGGGCACGTAAGTGGGTAAAAAGTTGGGACTTTTTATTGCAATCAGTGTGTGAACATAGAGAAAATTGTTTGAGCAATTAGACATCCAGACAAATGGTGGGACTAGTACTTGCTAAACATAATGAGAGAGTCTTGATTGCGGTGATTTGATAGATGTGCTTGTAAGTAGGGATTGTGGCGGTTTGGTCATGCGTGTACAAGTAGGGATGAGTTATGTTCAAATGGTTCGGTTTTGACCTAAATCAAATGGCGAACCAAAGTAAAAAGATCGGTTCAATTCGGTTTTATGTTTCAAAATTTGAAACCATGATTTGGTCGGTTGGGTTTATTTTGATTCGGTTTCAGTTTTTCGATTTTTGCCAAAACATTTTTATTGATTAAAATATTAGGATTATAACAAGAGACTAAAGTGTATATACAAGTGGTTCACATAATTAAACCATAAACATCAAATATCAAGGCACTGATTTCTTGTGTCAATTCATGTTAGCTGCCCTCAAACTCTTTTTCGACTAAGGCTTGAATGTTATTGTTGTTTCTTTCTTTTTTCTTTTGAATAACCTATAAGTGTTCATGAATCTTTGCTGCAGTATGAAGGGGCATATTTAACTGATGGAAAAAGTCTCAGCAACTGGGATGTTTTTACCCATAAACCAGGTCATTCTTTCGTGCATGATATCCAGCACTTTTTGTTTCCTGTTATGTATTTGTAATTGGAGGGAGGTAAAAGAAAAAAACTAACCCTCGTCTACAAAATTGCTAAAAACTACATCCTGGCCCCTGGGGGTTACACACACCCATTGTACAAGATACGGAGCAACTATTATACCCTCACATGAATCGTGAATGTATATATTTGTAATCATATAGAGTAAGGATATAATGATAACTTCATATCCATAATGGATTATCGTAGACTTCCTTGACATTGTGTCCTAATAGCTTTATTCTATACTCTTCGTATTATTTGATTTAATGAGCGGAAATCTAATTTTTAAAATAACAAATTAAATGTTGCAGGAAATATAGTGGATGGAAGCAATGGAGATGTTGCTGCTGATCAATACCATCTCTATCAGGTTTCAATATTTTTTGTTGTTACATATTGTAAAGGTACAAATAGGCTATTCTAACCCAATGGAAGCAATTTAATAAACACAACAAATATGAATAAGATTATAAGATGTGCCTATAAGTATGGTGTGTGGACCAGATAGATCCCTTTGCCATCTAAAATATAAATACCTGAATTCTCTTGAATAATGTCATCTTCAATTTGGTTGGGTGCTCGTTGATAACAGGAAGATGCAGAATTATTGGCATCTCTTGGGGTTAACAGTCACAAGATTTCAATTTCATGGTCGCGCGTCTTACCGAGTTAGTGTTAAGCTACCACACCACACAAGATAAAGTTTTGAGTTACTACTACAATTATTAATTCAGTACGAGACTATCAATTATGCATTTCAACCATGATAATTGTTTGTTACTGCAGAAGGAAGACATGGAAAAGTTAACTGGAAAGGGATCAACTTCTACAAAAATCTCATCAATGCCCTCCTACTCAAAGGTTCTGATGCCATTGGTAGTGGCAAACCTTCATAGTTTGATTATTTCTCAAGAACTAACCCATTTTTGCACGTGGCAGGAATTGAACCATTTGTAACAATTAATCATTATGATCTCCCTCAAGAACTTGAGGACAGATATCAAGGCTGGCTGAGCTCCGTGATGCAGTAAGTTGTTATTGTGGCCTGATAGGAATTCCATAAAATGTGTTAATCCATTGTCATTCTAACACTAAGTGCCTATTACGCAAGCATTTTTTCCAAATCAGTCAATTTAAAAAAACAATTGTCCGGATGTTGTTGTTGTTCTAGTTAATTTAAAAAACTAATATTAACTTTCACTATGTTAGCGTAATCCGTTGATAATGAAAAAAAGTAGTGCAGGAGTAACTTTTTTGCCAATAAAGGCTGAATTTGGAAATGAGTGGAAATTACATTTCAACCTTTCATTTTAAGATATTAAACTAAGTAGTTAATAAACTTATTTTAAATAAAAAAGAATTAAATGACTCGGCAATTCCATTCTAGGCCTTACCAAACAGGCTCTTAGCACGTTTGTCAGCCCTTAAGAATTCCTTTTTCAGGGAAGAATATGCATATTTTGCCGAGGTTTGCTTCAAGAATCTTGGGGATCATGTTAAGTACTGGATTACCTTCAACGAGCCGAATGTGTGGGTCATTCTTGCTTATCAGAATGGGTTGTGGCCGCCAAATAGATGTTCGGAACCACACGGGAACTGTAGTCAAGGAGATTCTGTGCAGGAGCCACTAGTTGCAGGCCACAACATGATTCTTGCCCATGCCTCTGCTGTCAGTATTTACAGAAATAAGTACCAGGTACTTACCTATATACACCCACACACAAAAATAAAACTCTTTCAAATCTACAAGTATTTGAAATCTTGAACCTTATCTTAAGCATTGTTGAAATATCCCTGGTTAGCACTGGTCTGTCTTACCTGCAGAGTTTTAAAATTGACGGTTGTCATTTCCTTTTTAAATCAACCGGAGAATACTAAGTGGACATTTAACCATTTAGCCTCATATAGTCATATCACCATAATTCTGATGGTGTTTGCTTTAGCTTGCTTTAGGTTGCTTAGTTTTTCTTTATGACACTTGTGCCTGCCTACTCTACTTACATTCTGCCTAACCCAATTAGTCCATACCAAGCAACCATTAGTAGTTTATACAAAGTTCATCTTAAGGAGATATAAGCGTATATTGATTATTATTCCAGCAAGTGCAAGGAGGTCAAATAGGAATCGCGGTGCTTTTTTACTGGTTTGAACCGATTAGCAACTCCACAGCAGACAAAGCAGCAGCTGAGAGAGGTCTATCCTTCATGTCAAACTGGTAAAGTTTCTATAACATTAAAGGCTTGTTTGTTAAGGGCTATGTGGCTGAAGTGACTGAACCTACTCAGTTTTCAGTCAAAGAAGTAACATAGAAGCTACTTAAGGTTAATTACCTAACTAGGACTAAAAAGTAGCTAAAAATTACAAATAGGACTACATTGTTTTAAATTCCCTAGAACTAATTATATGTGTTTGGACAAATATACCCCTATAGCTTTTGAACTAAAATAAATATTTTATAAAATTATAATATTTAAAAAATAGAAAAATAAAAATTATAAATAAAAGAAACAGCAAAAACAATTATAAATTTAAAAATAAAAAAATATTAAAAAATTACACGCCGCCTCTGCCACACGGCAGGGCCTTCTAATGAATTTGGAGGCCCCGGTCCTAAATGGCGAATTGAGGCCACTGAAACAAGAAAAATACAAAATTTAACAATGAAATACAAATAGACTAAATGATTCAATGAAGTACATGTTTTATAATGTTTAAAGTACAAAAATTAGAAATCTAAAAAGTTATATACCTTTTGGAATCTTGAATAATACATGACATCTTAAAAAATCAACCTATAACTAATACTACATACTAAACTTATGAAGACCCCTACAAGAATGGGCCCCGGTGGCAAGCATCTATTGCACTTCTTAAAAAACGACCCACACCCATCACCATTAGCTCCGTTCACCGAAAAAATGCCAACATGCATTAGTAAAGCCATATTGATGGTAGTTTGAATGAAAATTTTGGCATTATCAGAGAGTTATAATGCTATTTTCTTCGCATTTTCAGAAAAAATGGCATTTTTTTCACCGATTGAGGTGCTGGTTCTGGGAGGTAGTAGAGGCAATCGGAAACGCATCCATATATTTTTTATATTTTTATGGGTTTTTTTTATTTTTATTAATTTTTTTTTCAATTTTTTTAAAAATTTTATTTTATAATTATTTTATTAATTTTTTTTTATTTTTTTACGATTTTATTATGAATTAAAACAATTTGTTATGAAAGTGCCTGAACTTGTGACCATATGGAAGCTACTTGTCCTGATGACATACAAATAGTGATGGTATATCTCATGTATTTCATCGGATCTTCAGCGAACATGTTCTTATAGAAGCTACTTGTCCCGATGGCATACATATAGTGATGGTATATCTCATGCATTTCATTGGATCTTAAAAAACAGGTTCTTGGATCCAATCATATTCGGAACATATCCACAAGAAATGAAGAATCTTTTACTTTTACCTGAATTTTCAAGCCAGGACTTGGAAAAGCTAAAAGCTGGGTTAGATTTTATCGGGATCAACCATTACACAACCTATTATGCCCAAGATTGCTTGTTTTCTACATGTGAAGCATCTATGACGGGAAACACCAGGGAAGAAGGCTATGTTGGGAAAAGTATGTCAAAGAATGGTGTCCTTATTGGAGAACTGGTAAATGGAGCTGTTTTGTAATATATTCATCCTTCTCCATTACATGACAACTATGCTAATAAGGAAACCTTTGGTATAAACGTAGTGAAATTTAACGCAACCAAATATTTTGGGTAAATTTACATTGCCTATGCATTTGATTACTGTTAAGACTCGAGGTTCCATCCTAAACGGTTAACCTGTTAGGAGGAGTAGTCCGAAGCTTAATATAGCACTTTAATGCTTCTCAATTTTCCGGTGTGGGACATTTAACACTCCTCCTCACGACCTGACACTTCGTCTGGATCGTGTCGTCAATCATTTTTTCATCGGTTTGTCAATTTTTTTTATCGTGTCGTCATTTTTCATAAGGGGTCCCACATCATGGATCGATTTGGCTCTGATATCATGTTAAGACTCGGAATTCCATCCTAAAAGGTCAATCTGTTAGGAGGAGTAGCGTGAAGCTTAATATAGCACTCTAATGCTTCTCAATTTTCCAGTGTGGGACATTTAACAATTACATTACACTATTACACTACGTAAAGTACGTTGTATGTTCCATTATGGATTACCAAATACTACCTTGTATCACCCTCATTAACATTGTGGAGCATATCCATTGGCTTTTGTAGACAGGATTGAGTTATCTGGATGTTTATCCACTAGGAATGGAGAAACTAGTATCTTACGTGAAAAAAAGATTCCCAAATATACCACTTTATGTAACAGAAAACGGTAAGATTTTCATATTTGTGTCTTGTTTCTTTTGTGTATTTAGCTTTGCCTGTATATGAAATATTACTAAGAAAGATTGTAGCCTTTCTACAGGTTATTGTGACACAATGGCTTCAAATTCTGGCATTGAAGAAATTTTGAATGATACAAAGCGGGTCAAATTCTTGTCCGATTATTTACACTCCCTGGGAACTTCCATAAGGTATGTTAGTTAGAATTTAGAAAGTCCCAGTTCCGATATTATTTCAGTTTTTTTGTATAACTGTTGGTGGTTTTTGGTTTCACGAATGACAAACCCAACCTTTATCATAGTTAGTTGTGTGCTACTGGCTATAATTCATTTGGGAAAAACCAGTCTTTTATTTCAATAAATTGGTTGCCTTATAAATAATAATGTCAGTTTTATCTATAGTAATTCTATGCTGGACTCCGAAATATAACCATGTGGATTTTGCTGGTATGGTATTTGATTAGGAAAGGAGCAGATGTGAGGGGATATTTTGTATGGTCATTGTTCGATAACATTGAGTGGACTTATGGGTACTCAAAGCGGTTGGGGCTATATTATGTTGACCGCGTAACACAAAAGAGAACCCCAAAATTATCAGCAAATTGGTACAAGAAATTTATTACAGAGAACCAAAGAGTTGAAAGCAGCAATATGCTGAAGAGGAATTGGTAAAATGTGTAGTCATTTCTTCCTATTGTACAAGGTGTGTGCGGGCTTTTGTGTCACCTTTTGAACTGTTATCACTTTATATGTATTGTGTATGCAATAAATGATAAAATGCACTATTTTTTATATTATTGTGTGAACCAATGTTTTGAAAATGTGCCCAGATAGCCCCGTTAGCTGTTAGCATGTCCAAGAGCTTGACGGTCACTAGTGTAGCTGGTGGGTTATGAAGGATATCATGGGTTATTGTTAATGTACTTTGAATATGCTCACACTTCGATTCCTATCCGGTAGTACATAATAGATCTAGACTATGTACTTCAGTTTGGACTTTGGTTATCTACTTGGGCTTTGTCAGTAAGCTATGAATGTTTTTAATTGGACTCTAAATTTGTCGGTCTGGTAGATGAATATTCTATGTGTATATGTTTGGCCTGGACGCCTGGTAGATGTTTGTTCTATGTGTGTTTTACACCTATCAAAGTTTGGTTTGCCCTAAACTGGTATGTTTATGTTATGGGATTTAAACCAATTCAACTGAAAATATCAAGTCATTTTAGGGTAGATTTAAAGTGTTAAATATACCCTCTTTGTTTCCAGCGATATGTGTAATATGAAACTCAGCCTCCTAATAAATTTGCTTCTCTTTGTACCAATGGATGTAGCCACGTTGGTGAACCTAGGGATGGACCGGTTCCGGTCGGCCCGGACCGGCCCAAGGGTTTAGGGTAGGCTTGGACCAGGTTTGTGCCACTCGGGAACCGACCCGGCCCGATACTGTGTGGGCCTGGCCTGGCCCGGGAACCGGGTACCGGTTTTGGGTCTAGGCCCGATTTATGGGGGGGTAATTGGGGTGGGTACAGGTCAGAGGAATATGGAACCGGCCTGGCCGGGTCCGGGCCTAGTTCGGGCTTCATTCTTTTTTCTTTTTTTCAATTTTTTTATTTCTCGGGTTGGACTGGGTATTTTGGGACATTTGGGCTGGTTTGGGGGGTAGGGGTGAGTGGGGGGGGGGGTTAAAAGCATATATATATATATATATATATATATATATATATATATATATATATATATATATATATATATATATCTACAATGTTATAAGAGTGAATGAAGGTGAGGGTTTTTTGGGTATGAAAAATGTGTTGGTGTAACCTTATAGCTATATGATATTGTTCTTTACGTAGAAGATGTTGTACATCGTGTTATTAGACTCTTATTTTCGTCATTTTTTCTGTTGGCTTCCGTTATCTTCACGTCTAGAGACTACTCCATTGTTTCCTTGTTTCCTTGTCTACTCCATTAATTTCACATGGGAGACCATCCAATTGCCACTGCCTCTTCAGTTACTCCACATTCTAGACCATTCCATTCAAACCCCCTCTTACCCGATTCCAATCGCCCTCAACTGCAGTGACCCAACCCACCTTCTGCTATCTTCAGTGGAAATCACGAGTTAGATTATGCTCAAATGTCTTGAGCAATCAACAAGGTGCTGGAAGCTATCTTTTTGAAACGAAGAATATCGATGACACCTATGCTTTCGACGATGACGAAGGCGATGATGAGGATGAGGATGAGGACGACGAGGATGGCGTGTTTGTTCCTGCGAGAGATATGAATGAATGGGTTGAAACGAAACCTCAAGGGTTCGGAGAAGGAAAAACGTACGATACTTCGGTTGAAGAGAAGCTGATGTGAGAGATTGAGCAGAGTAGGAGAGCACAGCTTGTTATTGTCAACAAGCTCAAGAACAATCCTGTAAATCCAGGTTCCAAGAAAAACCAGATCCACCAAGAAGAAGGTTTGTGTTTTTTTAACTTATTTCTATTGGATAATTTCTATTGTGTCTTGTTAGTTTGTCTATTCAGTGTTTATAGAAAGCTGCGGCTTCTAGATGTTGCCACCCCCAAAGTGTCAATGAGTGTGTATGACATTTGTTATGATGCACATATACAAATATATTAATGGAGGATCTTTTTTTGCGATGCTAATGGAGGATCTTCTTAATGGAGGATCTGTTAATGAATTTACAGAGCTTTGGACTTGTGGGTTTAATAGTATGTCTGGAGTGAAATTAGTTGAAATTGTTTATGAGCTGGACCTGGTTATATTGTGCTGAAATAGCTTAGTGAGCTGAATCATCTTAGTAAAATGTATCTTTGTTTAATAAAATGAAGAAAAGATACAAAAATCATGAAAGTAGAAGTGTCATTTATCTTCATTTCATTAAAATGATAACTTTTGTGTCCTGCACTTTATTATCTCTGTATTTAGCTAATGGTGTCAAATAAATTTGTATGGTAGAAAAATCTTGCACATAACAAAACAGGCTCACCTAACAGAGCGTAACCTCCTCTGTGTGTGTCAGGTTAAGCCCAAGAAGCTTAATCTATCTGCATAGAACTAAAAATCAATATTCTAATGAGCTTGCATGAAAATAGAAAAATCTAGCAGTTGTCAACTAAAGATTTATATGTGCAATAGTGGTGATTTAGGCAGGGACATGATTAAGAGATGAAGAATTGATACCAATCATATACTTAATGATGGAACTCTTTTTTAGTTCATTAAGGTTCGAGAATCCGTAACCCCAATTTTTATTTGACATTTACACCGCTTGTATTAATTGATTTGACTAAAAAAGAAACACATCTGTATCATTGATATTTACTTTCCCTAAAAATATTTTCTTTTTCTATGTCGAAATAGTTTAATCATATTAGTCATGTATTCACTCATACTATCCTCATAAATTGAGGTCTGCAATAGCGTTGGACATTTACACGAACGCGCATCGCGCGTCAAAAAACTAGTATATATATATATATATATAAACTGGCCCGAGGCCCAGCCCGACCTGGATCCGCTGGCGGCTGGCCACCCGGGCCGGTCCCGGTCCTTCCCCCAACCACAAAAGGCCCGACCGAGCCTGACCTGGCCTGACTCCATGCCTAGTTTAGGGCGGGGCGGTTCCAGGCTCCCCTTCCTTTGGAACCGGTCGGGCCATGCCCGGTTCCAGCCTTTTTTTTTTCAAATCCCCCCCCCCCCCAGGTTGGGTTGGGTGTTTGGGGGGTGGGGGTCGGGGTTAATTAGAAAAGCAAAAATAAGAAAAATGGACCAGCTTGGGCCGGTTTTGGGCCTTCCCCCAAAAATAAAAGGCTCGGTTTGGACCGGCCTGGAACCGGTTCATACCTAGGTGAACCTATATGTTTATTCTTGCGTTGTTTCTTTGTTTGTTGTGCTTTTGCAATGTCGACTATACATTTATTCACGTCCGTGATCCAGCTAAATGTTGACAATGTGGGTCAACCCAATGGACTTGGACCCTTGGTATTGCTCGGGGACTCTAGGAGCAACAGTGTCCTCTTTTTCAGGAAGTCGTCCTATTAACATTGTGTTAGCCCATTAAGCCATATTAACGTGTTAATTTAATGAGTGTACTCAATTAACACTAAAAAATCATGTTTATCTACTTAGGATTGCCAAATGCAATATAGTGTACATTGTATTCTTTACATCGATGTATTTTAGTGTGTGAAAGAATTAAAAGAAAATGATTGTAGTTGTTAAACGAAAGTTGACTTTGTGATTTAATTATATTTAATCTAACAACTTGTTGTGTATAATTAATATTAAATGTTGAGGACTTTCTATCAAGAAATAAGTCAAATAACTGCTCTAGCTTCTCAAAAAAATAATATTTTTCAATTAAAAAACATACGGAGTAACTCTTAAAAGTTGTGCGAAATATACAACTCAGAGTTTTTAAATACTTTTTCAACATTACAAAAGTTAAAATATACTTCCTCCGTTCTGAAAAGGTTGGTCAAAATTGACTTTTATGTGAATTAATAAAGTAAAAATTGTGTGATTGAAATTTGTGCAGAGTAGAAAGAATTAACTTTAGCCACATATTCCTTACTTTAAATGGAAATGTCAAATCTTTTTGGGACATCCAAAAAATGAAATTTGATCAACCTTTTAGAGGGAGTAGTAACTTATACCTACGAAACATGTACTTAGAGTGAGAAGATTAAAAATGCGAGACAGCACTTACCAAAATTGTAATGTTGCAAAATTGAAATAAAATTCTTAAGTAGGAATATATTTAGAATAAACAAGGGGAAGTTCAAGTAAAAACAATGTAAATTTTCAAAATAAGAGTACTTCATTTTTCTCCCGAAGTAGCTAGGAGTAAATTACTCTTATTCAAAGAATACAAATATAATGCTCCTGATTTAAAATTCCAAAACGTTTTATCATATAAGTAGGGCAATTTCATAATAAAAATGAAAAATTGACAACAATATAATAATCTCACCTTTGATCGATCTGCTCATAATAATCTCACCTTGACATAGTTCCAGAATAACCACACCTTTGCAGCTCATCTTCTTTCATTGAACCTTGACCGCTAGATTACCTATTATACTATTTTTTTGTATTTTCTATTAAAATCTTACATACATAATCCCACTTTTCACAAATTTGTTGAACACGTACAATTCCACATTTCATATTTTTTTCTTTTATACATCTTCTAATTTTCTCATTTATTTAATCTGTTTATGTTTTTGCTTTACTTTTTCTCAATAGTTTCTTTCTTTCTTCTTCTTCCCCATTTTTACTTCTTCCCCTTTTTATGTATCACTATTCGGTTAATTATCTTGTCAAGACTATTAGCCCACACTAATCATTATTATTGAATTTATTTTTGATTTCAAATTTTTTTTCTTTAAATTCTTCTTTAATTTTCCTTCTCCCCCCCCCCCCCTCACCTACCTAAAAAGTTTTTTTGCTGTCCCTTTTCAACTCTTCCGTTTTCACTTACTTTTGACATGTCAGTGAATGTTGACAATTTCTTGATATAGATTTCTTCTTATTTTTTTCCACTTTTCAGATAATGTCTCTCACGTCTACTTTTCTTCGTGTAGAGAGTATGTAATTTTCCCTTTCTTACATTTCCTTGATTGTTTTATTTTTCTTTAAATTTTATTTTTTCCCTAATCTTTTATCCAAGAATTTTTTCCAATAGTTGATGAAATTTATGAGGGAACTTACTTAGAAAACTAGGATAATGCAGAAAAGGCGAAAAATATATATTGATGGTGGAATTATGGTAACAATAAAAAAGAAAACACACAACAAAGTAACAAGAAGAAAAAATGGAAAAGTGAAAATAAAAATTAAATATAACAAAAAGGAAAGTTGGAAAAAGATCTTTACTAAAAAAAGAATGATTAAAAAAGAAACACATAAAAAGGAAAAGGGAAAAGGGTCAAATAGACCCTCCAACTTACATAAAAAGGTCAAATAAGCTCTTTTATAGGAGACTCTGTCCGGCCGTCGCCATTTGGGGTGATTCCTGGTGGAGTTTTTTGATGAAATTTTTTGAGCATCTTATTCATTATGTCTAGTTTACTCATACATAATTTAAGCTCAAATTTCAATCGGAAAGACACTCAAATGAATTCTTAAGCGGAGGGAGTAGTA